GCCCTACCCCCAAATATAATCCACTCTGCAACCCTCATTGCGTACTCCTACGATAAAAATAATGCCCTAAAATAGAATACTTTTAGACTATTCTCTCCCCCATAGACTTCATTGCCGGGTTTTGTCTTTTTTTGATTCTGATTTTTGTTCTAGCAGATCCATGGTGACAATTCTATATTTTATTTCACTGGTTCTATGTTCCATCTCTTCAACCCTGTTCATGTGTCCATCGATCATGTTGACAGCATCTGAAATATTAGTCCTTATATTTTGGATCGTGGTTTCTTGTTTGTTTTTTTTCCAGAGCCTCTAATGCCTTGTTTGTTTTACCTGTATTGTTTTGGATTGTGTTTTTAATATCTTCCTGGTTTTTGCTTGCAGTGTCCTGTAATTCTTCAAGTTTGTCTTTCATCCACTGAAAATATTCAGTCATTGTTCTTTTAACTTCTGTGTCAGAATTTTCATCAGACTTTGTGGCTTCAGGAAATCCACTGCTACTGTGTCTCTTTTTGGGGGTGACACCTTGCTTTGGGCTTGTGTAGGAGGTGAGGTAGCCTGCTTCCTATGTGACATTGCCGTTTTAGAGTTTTTCATGCCTGAGGTGATAACAGGTTCTTTTTCTGAAGTCACTGCTCCAGAAGTGGGTGGGGAAGATACCCTCCCTGGTTTTCTCTCTGCCTTCTGACCGAAGGGAAAACATGCTTCAGTTTGGTAGAGAAAATACCAGTGGAAGCAGCCTCCTCTGTCAGACAACTGCCACAGCTAGGGTTAGCCCAAGGTGTTCTGTGCTAAATGCAGTTGATGGCTGAATGTGAGGAGATGCAAGGTAGAGTGCAGAGATATGACTTAAAAACCAGAAAGACTTAGTTTTCCCTTCAAAAATGAACTCCAGCTGTCTTGTTCCCTTCTGATTGTGCTTAAGGGGTTACAAGTGCTGCAGCCAAACAGCAGTGACCCCCCCCCCACAAAGTACTTCAGTCAAGTTCCACTATTGCTCCTGGTGTGCATCAGCTTCTGGCACGAGTGTCGGCATCACGACTGGAATTCTGGGTGTGGGCCCTCAGCATCAAGACTGGAGTTCCAGATAAGGGACATCAACATTAGAACCAGAGTTCTGCATTTAGAAATAGGTGTCAGGACTGAAATTCTGGGTGTGGGGCATTGGCACCAGAGTTTTGGGTGCTGGCCAGCAGCATCAGGACTGGGGTTCCAGCACAGAGCATTGGCATTGGGACCAGGGTTCTGGGCATGGGGTGTTGGCACCAAGGGCCAGAGTTCCAGGCACACACAGGTGATGATGGGACTAGAGATATGGATTCACACTAAGAAAAAAAAATTTCTTTTTAATTTTAGTTTTCGTTTTGTGTTTTATTTATATAAGAAGTTCAGGCCTTGACTGCATATTTCCTCAGTGGGTTTAGGTGCTCTTCGCTGCTGCTTCCTAGTCTTCAGGTTATCCTTGTGCTTGTTGAGCCTTTGACACATGACATGTGTTTTCTTGGGCTGCAGATCCAGGGGTTTGTACTTTTTGCCTTTATAGTATTTTCTGAGGTTCTCTTTCTGAAGATGATTAATAACAGTGAGAACTGAGGCAATGGATTTTCAGACAACTCAGATTTTGAAGAGCTTGGAAACTGTATCACCTATCACTTTTGTGATGCACAACTGGGAAAACTCCACTTTCAGATTGCCTAGATGTTTCAACAGCTACTCCTTCTTCTTGCCACAAAGGCCCCAAGCCTTGATTTTGGCCACTGATGAGTGATAGAACCCTGCTTCTCCCTCATCCAAGGCCAAGAGAAAAGCAACACTAAGACATTTTTAGTACCTAGTTAATTTACTGGATTCTCAGCCTAGAAGCAATGTGGTATAGAGGCTGTACACACTTTTTGACAGTAACTTCTTTATTCATTTTGGTAACCTAAAGAAATAGGTATTATCACCTGTATGTAGAGATGAAGAAACAGAACTAGGTGGCTTATTACGATCAGATGGCTAATGATTAATGATAAAGGCCATCTGATTCCAGAGCCTATGTTATGAACCAGTATCCTGTAGTTTATCAGACTGTTAATATTTTTTACCATCTGGGAGTTGAGCTGAATCACAGTGAACTCCAGAATGAGAAGGGTGAACTGTGAGTGGAAGTGGCTTATTTTGTCTCTCCTACTATATGGGCAAAAATTGAGGATTCAGGTGGAACTGAAACTATATCTAAAATTTCCTAGCACTATTAAATTCATTCTAAATTTAATAATACATCAATAACCAAAACACCATACACACTACTATTGAGTTGATTCCAACTCACAGTGATCTCATGGAACAGAGTAGAATGAACTGCTCAACAAGACATCCAAGTATATGCATTTTTAGAAGACTGCTTCATATTTCTCACATAGATCGGCTGGTCTGTAGGGAACCACCTGCCTTGGTTAGCAGCCTAACACATAACCTGCTGTCCTACCAGAGCTACTTAAAAAAGAATATTATAAAAAATGGGAGAAAGAAAGGTCTACATGAATATCTCTGTATATAACATTAGAGATACAATGTCAAAAGTGAGATTTAGAAATCTTACTACTTTGGGCTTATTCTAAATAATGGAATGTTGTTGTTTTTGTTGTTATGTTATGTTGAGTTGCCTGTGACTCATAGTGACCCTGTGTACAACCATAAGCACTGCTCTATCCTGTGCCAAACTTATTGTCCCTGATACACCTATCCCCATTGTCCAAATCACTAAATCAATCCATATCATTGAGGGTCTTCCTCTCCTTTGCTTTCCCTCCACCCTCCCAAGCGTGATGTCCTTCTCCAAGGATTGATTTCGCCCTGCAGCATGTCCAGATGAAGCTTCAGAATCTTTGTGTCCAAGGAGCAGCCTGGCTTCACCCTCTCCAGGATGAACTTGTTTGTTCTTCTAGCAGTCCATGGTATATTCAATACTCTTCTCCAGCACCACAGCTCAAAGGCATCAATTCTCCTTCTACTCTCCCTAGTCATTGTCCAGCTCTCTGATGCATAGCAAGTGATTGCAAAGACCACGGCATGTATCAGGAGAACCTTAGTCTCCAGACTGACATCATTGCTCTCCAGTACTTTGGAGAGGTCTCTGACAGCAGACTTTCCCAATATATTCATGTTTTAATTTCCTGGCTACTGGTACCAAGAATGTTGATTACAGAGCCAAGTAAACTGAAGCTGTTGACAATCTCAATCTCTTCACCATCTATCATGATGCTACCAACTGGCCCAGTGATAACAGTATTTGTTTTCTTGATGTTGAGTCTCAATTCATACTGAAAGCTGCACTCCTTGACCTTCTGCAGCAAGTGCTTCAGGTCCTCTTCAGTTTCAGCAAGCAGAGTTGTGTCATCTGCACAACGCAGAATGATGATAATTCTCCCTGCAATCCTGATGCCAGATTTCTCCTCATAGAGCTTAGCCTCCCGCATAGTCTGTTCCACATATAGATTGAAAAGCTATGAAGATAAGATACATCCTTGGTGCACACTCTTCCCAATTTTGAACCATACAGTACTTCCTTGCTCTGTTTGGATGACTGCCCCCGGGTCCAAGTATAGGTTTCACATAAGCACAATCAAGTGTTCTGGGATTCCCATTCTTCTCAGAGTCAGCCACAGTTTGTTATAATCCACATAGTCAAATGCCTTTGCATAGTCCATGAAATACAGATAGACATTCCTCTGGTACTTTCTGCTTTCAGCCAAGATCATTCTGTCATTAGCTATCATATCCCTAGTACCACAGCCTCTTCTAAATCCAGCCTGCACTTCAGGAATCTCTCTGTTGATGTGCTGTTCCAGTAATTTTTGGATAATATTCAGCAGAATCCAAAATATCTTTAATATGTGTTGTTGTTGTTGTGTATCATGGGGTCAGAACTGACCCATATATCAACTTTATATTTAATATAGTATATATTTAGTAAAATGTATTTATACATTATGTACTTTTTTCTTTTTTCAGAATGACCTATATTTTATCAAGAAGTCAAACAGCAAAGATTGTGATGAAAAAGAATCTCTCAAGACCAAAATAAATGAACTAAATCTTTTCATGGAAAGATCAGAGAAGGAATTGAAAAAAGCCAACACTTATAAACAGGTATGGGAATATTATATGCATACATGTAATAGTAAAAATCACAGGAATTTCTATTACTTGTAGAAATTTAAAAATAAATTAGCACTGTACCTTGGCAGCCTAGTGACAAGGAGTTGTGCTGCCAACTCAAAGGTACACAGTTCAAATCAATCAGTTGCTCCATAGGAGAAAGATAGGCAGTCTTCTCCCTTGTGATTTACTGTCTTTAAAAAACTTCTGGAGGGTGAGCTATGGGTTGGTTGGTTCTGACTCAATGGTACATAACAATCAGCACCCAGGATAGAGATCTCTGGTGGCCTGGCCAGTAGGGAATTGAGCCGTGAACCCAAAGATGTTTCTCCTTTGGTGGTTCAAGTCTACCAGCTGCTCTGAGGGAGAAAGATGATCTATCTTCTTTGTGTGATTTACAGGCTCCAAAAACCCACTGGAAGGTTAGTGATGAGTCCGTTCTAATTCAACTGCAATTAGTTTTGGTGTTTGGTTTTTGGCCTTTTTTTAATTACCTAAGGACCACCAATTACTCATATGCAAGTTCAAGCTGAAGCTGAGGAAAATTAAACCAAATCCACAGGAGTCAAAATATGACTTTGATTTCATACCACCTGAATTTCAGAATCATCTCAGGAACAGGATTGAGGCCTTGAACACTAATGAG